GTCGGTGGTCGTTCAGGGTCTCATTGTGGTTACTAGTTAACTTGTTCAAGTGTGAAAAGCAATGGGGATTTCCTTACCCTTGAATTTCTGCTTACTTGGTGTATTTTGGTACAAATGCTGTAGAGTCTTAAGCATCAGAGGACATGAATGTGGCTCACAGTCCTTTCCTGAACATGTCCCAGCTGCCTTGATCCTATTACTAATCTTCTTAGATATTTCTTTTTGCCCATGCCAAGGTGTCATGTTCCTCTGGTTCCTGCCATTACCTCTTCTAATTAATCAACGGAGTTTGACACCTTAGGAAGAACAGACAGCAAAGGCTTCTGCCATTTCTTTTGCATGTTCCGCATGGAGTTCTAGACAAAAGATGCAAAGTGGGTATGGCTACAGGCAGTCGTAGGCTCTCTTAGAAACCATGGCAAAGACATGCTGTATCCCTCATCTGCCCGATCCCCCATCCTTCTACCCTACTGGACAGATGAGAAAGTTTAAATTTTTCCCATAGGGTTCAGATGAGCCTGCTTCCAACACTTTCTGGTCCCTTATTTGTTTCCTCAAGTGGCTGTACTCTCATTTTTTAGCTCTAAGTTTTATAGAAGTGCAGGTCTTCGGTGGGCTTTTGGTGCTCTGCACTTGATGACTCAAGGCCTTGGTCACTTAGCATTCTAGCCAGTAATAGGGTCCTCCTGCTGGCAGGTTGACTCAGTCAGTGGCTGGTACTGTGTGACTCACACTGCCACTGAGGCACACTCAAACTTGTCTAGCTTTCCTTTTGATCTGGGCATTGGAGAAAAGTTTCATTTGTCAGCTTTTGCTACTGGTGGACAAGGCCCTCTTTTGAGTCTAACTTGATGAAGAAAACTCTCTGGTTAATAACTGCTGGTTGAAAAAATTTGGGGACTGCCAATTTGAAATTACCTAACGTTATGAAAAGCTTACACAATTCCTTTTCTTTTTATTGCAGCTACTAAATCACAATGAAAAGGGGCAGAGAAAGAATTTCAAAACAACTACCTTTTAAGCTTTATTTTTCTCAGCAGGGTCTCTCTGATCTCTTTATTAGTCCCAATATGTGTGAGCTACTCAATTCACATGAAGACAGGAAAACTTGCCAGGAAAGAAGAGGCAATCTTCTAGCTCTCTGCACAAACTTGAGATGAGCTCATCTGTGCTCTCTCCTTTCCACGACAGATACACCCATCCCTTAGCCCTCATCTTCTTCTCATTTTCCACTGATGATGTCAAGCTGGCCTTATAGTATCTTTTTTGTGATCTTATAAAATCAATGACAACCAGAAACACTTCCCTTTTGGGTATGACTTCAGCAGTGGTCTACACCTGGAGAGGCTCTCATCTGCATTGGCAAGTGGGGCTAACTGATCCAGACGGAAGCAATTCAGTAGGAAACTGCTGCTTTTCTTCAAAACGCTGCCAGTGCCATTCTGGTTGGGAAGGCTTCTGAGCAAAGCGGCTCAGCCCAGAATCTGACCGGCCAAGATGCTGTTCTAATCTCTTGCTCCTATCTGTACACATCAAAACTCTTTACCTAGCCCTGTTATACCTGCACATTAAGTAAGTGTTATTCAAAATGAAACTTGGGCCTCTCCCTGTTCTCATCACAAGCTACCTCCCTTGCTTGGAAACAGGTCTCCTCACAAGCTACCTCAGTCCAGGTGCTTATGTATTTTACAGCTGGCTAATTCAGCTTTTCTAATTGTCTCGGAGACACTGAGAGAAATGTGCTTCAGAAGGTGCTGGTAAGCATTTTGTTCTCTGAAAAAGAGTTTCTCCCTGCTCTAAAGATTAACTGATTTTGGCTTGATATTACAGATAGTAGTTCTATCTAACAAGCAGTGAACATGTAAGATGTGTTGGGCATGACTGTTCTAAGCATTTTTCATGAATGAGTTAATTTAATTGTCACAGAATATTTCTGGGAGGTACTGGTGATTCTCATGATTGGACTGATGAAGAAATGAAGTCAGCAAATTAAGAAACAGCATAGGTTCTTGGGAAGTGACCAAGTATGATCCAAAATGATGTGCTGACGCCCTCTGGATCTACATGAGGGGACAGCCACAAGACCAAAGCCTGGACTTTTCTTGTAGAAGTATCGGGACACTATTTCTCTTGAGCCTCAGTTTTCTTTCTCTTCGGCCTACATTTAAGCTGAAGTCCAGAAAAAAGCACTACAATTTCTTCAAGTGTGCAACAGCACTGGAATTTACAGGAATCTGACCACAAGTGAGCCAAGTCCACACTTGAAAAACACCAGTGTGGAAAACTCCAGCTAAATATAGCGTGGACACAAAGCTGGGCTGATGCTTTTCAATCTTGGAGCTGTTCTCAGGGGCTTTAGCTTTAGAAGAACTAGAGAAAGAAAGCTAACATTTACTGAGTGTGAATGATGTTGCCAGCATTGCTCTAAGCCTTTTTATAAACATACACACACACACACACACACACACACACACACACACATACACACACACACGGGGGTGGGGGAAGAGGAAGAGACAGAGATTATAAGATAATTACACTTTTCCCTTTCCTTTTCTCTCTCCAACCCTCCCATATATTCCTCTCCACTCTCCTTCAAATTCATGGCCTCTTTTATTGTTACTGCATGCATATATATATATATATGAATATATATGAATATATATTCATATATATATATATATGAATATATATATGAATACACACATACATTCCTAAATATAACCTCCCAGTCCATGTAATGTCACTTGTATGTATGTGTTAAGGTTATTGTGTAATTCAAATTCTGTATCCCCTGTATCTGGCTGCAGGCCTTGTTCTGAGAATCTCCTGTTTCAATGTTATATAAACTCTGCTCCCTAACTGTCCCCTGATATGCCAATAAAGCAGCTTGCAGTGTACTGCTGAGCAGGGGAGACAATAGGGCTGGACTTCCTTTCTGCTAGCCAGCGGAGGAGGGCTGAGAGGAGGAAGTAAAGGATGGGGCCATCAGAGAGGAAAGAAGATCAGGAGAGAAGCTGGATCAGAAAAGCTACAAAGTGCAAATATCTCTGGGATGTATGCTGGGAGGAAGCTGAATTAGCTTAGAGGGTTAAGAAGAGATTAATAACTGCTCAGTTCTTGTGCTATGAAGCTTGTTAAAATAATAGAACAGAGTCTCAATCATTTGTGTGATAACTGGATTAAGAGAGAAACTGAGAATCAAACATAATTTTTAAAAAATAATGTAAACGATCATGTACCTAACAAGCAGTATAACTGATAATCAAATGTAGAAGAGTTCAATATTCACTCCCACCTCTTACCTTGGGTTATGTTTAGCTCATATAACGTATATTGCAAAGCAGCATCTTTGCTTTGAGATGGAGTTTCACTATGGAACCTCTCCTCACCTGGAACTTGCTAAGTAGGTCAGGCTGGCCCAAAACTCCTATCTTCCTATCATAGCTTCTCAGGTGGTAGGATTACAGGTCTGAGCCACTGTGCTGCACTTGAGCAGGATGCTAGCTATTTTTCTATCTAAGGTAGGTATATTTTCCACCTTCCATAATCCATAAGCTTGAGTTTTATCAGTGAATGTTTTGGAACATTGGCTGCAGTGTGCATGAAAGTCCCAGATAAAAGTACAAACATGGTCTTAAGGCAACATGCACATTGTCAACCTTGCTTTTAGAGGAGCCGCTTGAAAGATTTGTCAGCAGACCTGGACAAACCCAGCAGCTAAAGGATGGGGAAATCATTCCCTAGGTCCTGGGCATAGTGTTTATGGTCATATTTTATCACTAAGCCCCTTTCTCAGTGCCTCTTTACACCTCTGTTCCTTTTCTCTGGCTTTGAACCTCATGGCAGCTTCCACCAGCTTGCCTTCAAAGAGTTGAAGATGAGCCTGATGTTACAATAGGTTTGCTTAACTCCAGACAGGTTTCTATTCATTGTGTTAAATTCTGGCAAATGAAGGCATTTAGTCTGTGGCAGAGCTGAACTGTATCTAGCTCAATATAAACAAGAGAGTTAATCAGCCATCAACCAGCAATTGGAAGCATATCAACAGTGCCCACATAAGTGTGGGTTTGGAGCAGAAGAGACTTTAGAAACTTGAAGATTTTTGCTAAGCATCTGGACTCTGTGTAGAGAGAATGAAGATTGGAATTGGAGTGCAATTAGGGGAAAGCAAATGTTACACACACACACACACACACACACACACACACATACACACACACTTTAATCCATGTCAAGGCACCTTAGCCTGCCTTCTTCATTATCGACTTTCATCTTCCAGACAAAGCTGCTACAGGTCCCTTTCCGGATCAGGCTTAGGTCATAGGGGCAAGAAATACTGTTGCAAAAACAGATATGAAAGGGAGTAGCATGTGTGACTGGAGAACAGTGTGACAACATAATCTCCACATGGATGGATGATGTCAGTGTGGGTGATGCCGGCTTTCCTAGCATCTACTGAATCATCTGATGGGAGCAGCGAGTGAAAAGAATAAATACAAACACATGCAACACACCGCCACAAAAGCTGCTAGCCCAGGTCTAAGGAAAAGGGTCCTGCCTTGATAGGATCAGTTGGGCAACGGGGGTAAGGACGAGCTCAGCGTTAGGAAATGTCAGTGCCTTCTTGTTCCTCACGTCAGCTAGGCAGAGGTGTGACTTCAGGTTGCCTGGCCTCTAAGAAATGAGGTGTTAGTATCTATGCGCTCTCATGGTTTCAAAGACGAGGATTTGCCTCAAGTTAAGAAGTTTTATAAAACTTACATTGCTTCAATACTACAGCCTTGGAAGGCATTGTCAGCAATTTTAGTCGAAATGTGCAGAAAGTTTTGTTTAATCTGTGCAGATATGGGAAAATAATTGGCAGGAGTACATTTGAATAAAACTCCAGTTTTGGGATTGGGTCACGTTTATCTATGCATCCTAGGCCCGTGTGACACGTTGTAGGCATTCGGTCATAAAGATTTCTGAATATAACCGGACAGGTGTTTTCTTGTTACCTGCTAATGTGACAGCAATGGAGACAGAGTCATATCCCAAGGCATTTGTGGCATTGCAAGTATAGAAACCCACATCAGCTTCCACTGGTGCCAAGATCTGTAAGGAATCATCTGGCTGCAGAAGAATCCTGGAGCAACAGAAAAGAAATAGAGATCTGGTCAAGTCAGCTGACTCCTTCTGGAATTCATTTTGGGGGAGGGCATGTAGGGGTGTCTTGGGAACGATGTTCTAACAACCCAGAAAGACAGGCTAGGATATTCAGGAAACCCAGGCTCTCTTGTTGATATGATTGGCATTTTGGCCATCTCAACAGGGACTTTGATTTTTTTAAAAGTTTACTGACCACCTGATCTAGTGATACTAGTTGGGACAGACAACAGTTATACACCAAATACATATAACACACAACATGAGATTCTGAAACAAATGCCTACATAGGTTTGAAAAAGAGGCTTATTAAGGAAAATGAAAAGTAACAAGGGAACAGTTAGGAAGATAACAGGGCTTCAATATATGAAAGAAGGCACCATTACAACAGTACAGTAGAAGAGAAGAAAATTTGAAAAAAAAAATCATTGACAAGAGGATTATTATCTGAAAGAAATTACATGCCTTTCAATTCTAGGCAGTAATATAAACATCCATTGTTTTCATTAACCTGTAAACATGCATGCACATCATAGGCCATATTGTTTTCATCTATAGCAGTATTACAGGGGGCCTTCTCCAGAGACGACGTCCGTATAATGAAGCAAAACTTGCCCTTTAAGGTTATGGAGAGACAATTCTAGAACAGCCATGTAATGCTTTAGATATTTTTGTCTATCCAAAAAGAATCACATGAGTTAAATTGTGGGCACCTATAATCAACTTCAAAACCCAATTCTAGTTTCTGTCCACTGATTTTCTCCTTCAAAATGGGTACCATTTCTAAGAACTGCATGCTCTTACCACAGCAGGTTAATGATTAAGGATGGTGCCTTCAAGCTGATGGTTCAATGATTCAGCAAGTCTGACAAAATCTAGATATGGAAAATCTATATTTGTAGAGGTAGGAATGTAGAGGTAGGAACATAGGAGAGTTAGAGAAACAGGGTAGGAACTAACAGATCCAGGGCCTGGAGCAGGCAGGTCTTAGGTAGACAGACCATTTGTGCCCCAGAAAGGTATTTGTGACATTTCTGGACCATTCTTTCCACCTTGGTTGCCTTTTGCATTTTCTTTTCTTTTTTTTTTTTTTTAATGTTTAGTTTTTTACAATTTATTCATTTTATATCCTGATTGTAGCTCCGTCCCTCATCTCCTCCTGGCTCCACCCTCCCTCTTTCTTTTGCCCCTCCTCTTCCCCTAGTCCACTGAAAGGGGACTATCTCCTCCCCTGCCATCTGCCCATAGCTTATCACGTCTCTTCAGGACTGTCTTCATCCTCTTCCTCTGTGGCTTGGCAAGGGTGCCATGCCAGGGGGATGTGATCAAAGAGCAGGCAACCTCTATTCATGACAGAAACGGCCCCTGTCCCCCTTACTTGGAAACCCACACAGAGACTGAGTTGCCTATGAGCTATCTGAGCAGGGGATCTAGTTCCTTCCATGTATGGTCCTTGTTTGGTGCATCAGTCTCTGCAAGACCCCCCAACTCAGAGTTTTTGACTTTTTTTGGTCTCCTTGTGGAGCTTCTGTTCCCTCCTGGTCCTTCTACTCCCCCCCCCCCCCGCTTTGTCCGTAATACTCCTTGCGCTCTGCCCAAAGTTTGTGAGTCTCTGCATCTGCTTTGATCCTCTGTTGGGTGGAGTCTTTCAGAGGTCCTTTGCATTTTCATAGTTTCCAAGAACTGGCCACTAGTGTTAACATTCATCCCTAGGAATCAAGCAGCCATGAGAGGGTCACTTGTTGAAGAAAGAGCAGAACTATTAAGGCTTGGCAGTTAACAGAACACCAGGAATCAGGCATCCTGCCCCAGCAATATTCTCCAACTGGATAATCACTTTTTTTTTTTTTTTTTACCGTGTTCTTTGCAGGGTCTCTCTAGACTCAATGGCTTTGCAGTCCAGCACTACGTCTGGCCATCTCTCATTTTTTTCTAAGGTGAATGACTAGTCTGGCAAAGACTGTGTCTCTTTAACTCTTTTTCTGATTATGGACCTATTTATTGTATTGCTACTTTTTACCTCTGTCAGAGGGAAGGCAAGGACTGTATCTCCCAATCTAGCTACGTATGGACAGTTCTGTTTAAAAAAAAAATGGAGAGGAAAATAGAACATATTAGCCAAATATAAGTTTTACAGTGATTTCCAATTACTTTAGTACTCTTCTAGACCATCACTATATTACTGGGGACAGTCACGCTTTTATAGCAATGGGCAGAGCTGAAACTGCATGGGTAATGACAGCAGAGAAAGAGGAGATTGTAATGTAACTCACCCACTCATTCACTCACACGTTCATTAATTTTTGGATATTTTTTCTCTAAGTCAGACAGTTACATGCCAGTTTATTTCAGAGAAGCTAATAAGAGAAAGATGGCTATGTAAGTTTTTATCTTTGATAACAGCATCACTGTTTCCTAAAGGAATCTTATCAGATACAGCATAATGCAACAGCACTGCTAAGTCTCTTCAGGTGTTCAAGATTTAAAAGGTGTTTTAGATTTAAAATTGCAAAAAAAAAAAAAAAAAGTAAAATTGACCCATGATTTAAATCTTTATGATATCCCAGGAATATGCACACTTCCACACAATTGCTTTATAAGAATAGCAAAAGCAGACGGCATCAATTTAAATAGAACGTAGTAGATCATATTTGGTTTCATCACACTGAGCAGGCAGGGGTTAAAGTTCACTAAATGCTGAAATCCATTAGCCTGCTTGCCTCCTTCCAACAAGCAGCATTTCTCCTTTTCTTACAGGAAGGATTCCTCAGTACTTGGAGCAGGAGGCTGTATGATTGTTCTTTTGACCTTATTTTGGTCTTGCCAGGATCTAAGTACTGGTCCCTGGCAAACTGACTTCCTACTTCGCCATCTATCAGCTACTAAAATGTAGATTCAATATGTTTCCTACTTAGCAGACAGACTGCTATTCTAATGAATAACGCAGAGAACTTTCAAACCATTGTTTGGTAGGTATTTCACTTCTCAGTATCTCCTGTTAGTAATTAGGTAATTTTTAATGTTTGATTCTTGTGATTGTGTATGTGTGTGTGTTGGGTGTGAGGAAACAGAAGGGTCACGTGACATTGGATCACAGATCTCTGAGTTCATTAGATTTCCATGTTCAGGTTTCTTTTCCACAGAAGTATTATTTTGTCTGATCTTATACAAACAAGTACAGACCTCACCCATACTGAGCCTGAACTACTTTTTTTTTTTTAAAGGTAATTACCGTTCATAACTACATCAGTTCTTCTGAACGCCAACACAGCTAAAAAAGCCATAATGCCTAACCCCAAGCATGAGTCTAACTTTCTGGAAAATAATTCCTCTATAGACAGAGGTAGTGTAAAGAAGGGAGGAGGTTCATTACACTTGGCACAAAATCACCTGTTGCTCAGGAGAACAATGAAGATGGGAAAGAACGAATAGTGACCATGATATTCAAAACTTGTTTATGCTTTTATCCCATAAATAGAATACAAGAAAAATAAGCTAAATATTTGCCTTTATAAAGGATCTAAATGTTATCTCAATAAAACAAAACCACATTGGCTACTGTATACATATAAAATACTTGCATTCATAAAACTTTAGGTGAAGGGTACACAGCTTTTTGCGGGTAGAGCCAGGATTTGAAATAGGCTTTCTTGTTTAATTCAACATTTTCCTTCCTCCATTCTGTAATATATTCAGGACACATTGTTTCATCTTGTTTTTGTAGCTAGAAAGCTGTTCATAAGTGGATTTTAGGTACATTGGTATATACAGAAATTTTATCCTTCTTCCTAACAATCTGTTGAGGCCAATATCCTTTTAGGGCAAAGGGAGAATTTGATTCCTGTGATTGTTATAATCTAGCCATGGAATTGGCAAATTGGGATTGGGAGGCTGCCGCTAGGGGGAGCAGGAGTTTGGGAGCGAGTTTTGGAGGGCTCTTGAGGAAGAAAGGGCTAGCTGTGGAAAATGGGGTTTGCTTTTCCCTAGCCTGGCAACTATGGAGAAAAACTCCTGGGGGGACTTTCTGCATTTTAGGCATCTACTCCATTAATTTAACTTAATTTGTTAGTAGATGATTTCTGTCAGCTTAATTAAGTTTTAGGTTTGATAGGCCTGTTTTGAATGGTTAGGCATAGGAACAGCAGGTTGTTTCCCAAGTGAAACCAGAAAGATTTTTGGGGGGCTGAATTTGAATTTAGGAAACCAGAAGGTGAGGGGACGCAGAATGAACACTAGCGTGGTCATGCATGGTGTGGAGGACTCCTTCTAGACCCTCATCTACACCTCATTTCCCTTTGAGTGGCTGGGATGAACTGCATTAATTCTTTGACTGTACTTTTGATCAGAAAGGACACATTTGGTTTTCTGAGACCTTTACATACACTTCTTCCATACCTTACTTTCAAAGTTACTTAACAACCTGTCATTTCAGACAAGATGGTTCCTTTGTTTCTTGGGCATTAGCTTGGGATAGAAGAGAAATCCTTCCACATCCTGTCTGATCTTCCAAATTATCCCCAACCCTGAACTAATCCAATTCTATTCTGCTAAGGTTCCACAGTGCAAAGGAATTCTTCTTGACATGATCCCCCCAATTGTCCTACAAAGATCTTTTCAATCTATAGTGTACCTTTTAAAAATTTTTTTCAGCTAGACTATAAATTATTAGCTCAAGGGTGAGGACTTTCTTATAGTTTCTTATTTCATGTTCATCAGAGTGTTACAATGTTGAATAAATTCTTGTTTAAGGTACCATCAAAGCAACTTGGCTGATCAAAACCACACTGAACCACATTGGATAGTAGACTATTTGGGACTCTATGGACTAGGTTACGAGTCAGCTCTATCACGATTAGTTCCATGGGTTTGGACAAGTCATTCTTTTAGCTTCTCAATGATAGCCTCCTCTGTAAATGAGAATTACAGCATCTACCTGGCATGTTGATTCCATATGCATTCCTGCATTTGAGGCACACAGGA